GGGTGTGTATGTATTTAATAATTAGTATTTTATGTTGGAATTCTCACGTTGTTCATGCATTGTTTTCCTCACTTAAGTGAACACCTTTGTGATGGTTATTTTGAATCTGTCCAGTAAATCATATATCTCTAGTTCACTATGGTCTCTTTCTAGAGATTTATCCTGTGTCCTTTGGAACATAGTTGCCTGTTTCTTCATCTTCCTTGACTCTCTTTGTTGGTATCTGTGCATTAGACAAAGCAGGCAACTCTCCATTCTTAATGGATTGACCTTATATAGTAGATGATCCCTACCAGTCAACCCAACCAGAGATTCCAATGGCATCTCAAAACTTTATGCCAGTCCCACATGCTTACTTTGTTCTTTACAGCCCCCGAGTATCTGGGTTATGCTGGATCCCCTCAGAGCATCAGAACTAGTAATACCGAAGCCATTTCTCAGGCCTCCTCTAAAAAAGTTGGATTATTTGATGCTTCATCTGTTTCCCTCCCTAGGGAAAAGCTAAGAGCTGGGCTTTTTAATCCACTTGCTCTGTGCTGAGCTGGAGGAGGAGCAGCACTAGCCCAAACCTTGGTCTCTATTTTCATAAACTCCTTGGTGGCTAAATTATGTCAGTATCATCACTGCTCAGTGGAAGGCAAGACAGACCCCCCCACCCCCACCCCTGCTCTGCACTCTGGGCAGCCCCCAGAAAAGTTGAGGCGTTGAAGTTGTGGACTAATTCTTTAGCTCCACAGGGAGAAACTACGGTTGGGGAGGGGCAATGTTTATCCACTTACTCTATGCTTAGTGAAAGAGGAGAGTGAAAAAGCTGACTTAAAACCCAACATTCAGAAAACGAAGATCATGGCATCGGGTTCCATCACTTCATGGCAAATAGATGGGGAAACAGTGACAGACTTTATTTTGGGGGGCTCCAGAATCACTGCAGATGGTGACTGCAGCCATGAAATTAAAAGATGCTTGCTTCTTGGAAGAAAAGCTATGACAAACCTAGACAGCATATTAAAAAGCAGAAACATTGCTTTACCAACAAAGGTCCGTCTAGTCAAAGCTTTGGTTTTTCCAGTAGTCATGTATGAATGTGAGAGTTGAACCATAAAGAAAGCTGAGCACTGAAGAATTGATGCTTTTGAACTGTGGTGTTGGAGAAGACTCCTGAGAGTCCTTTGGACAGCAAGGAGATCAAACCAGTCAACTGGAAGGACTGAAGCTGAAGCTCCAATTCTCTGGCCACCTGATATGAAGAACTGACTCATTGGAAAAGACCCTGATGCTGGGAAAGATTGAAGGCAAGAGGAGAAGGGACAACAGAGGATGAGATGGTTGGATGATATCACCGACTCAATGGATGTGAGTTTGAGCAAGCTCTGGGAGTTGATGGATCGGGAAGCCTGCATGCTACAGCAGTTGTAGCATGTACAGGAGTTGCAAAGAGCTGGGCACAACTGAGCAACTGAACTGACTGACTATACTTAGCCAGGGGGAACAGCTATGGCAACTGCCTACCCAAACCTATGTCTCTGTGCTCACTAGCCCCCAGACAGTTAGACATTTCCAGGTCCTGTCAGTACTCTGAGACAGGTAAGACAGAACCCATTCGTTTGAGTAGACCCCTTAAAGTTGGGGTTTTGGACATGTGGACCAACTCTTTCTTTCTTCAGGGGAGGCTGAGAGCTAGAATTTTCTTCTCTGCTAACCTTGTGCTGAGCTATAGAGAACAGTGACAGTGACTGCTATTCCAAGCCACTGTCTCTGTCCTCTCTTAGGTAGCTTGATTATGCCAGTCCTGACAGCATCTTATGCAGGACTGACACGATAGAAGCCTGTCCTCTGAGGAGCCCCCATGGAAAGGTTGGGGCATTAGACACACAGACCACTCCTTTTCCTTTGTAGGGATTAGCTGTGGGCTGGAGGGTTTCATCCTGATTGTATGACACTGTGTTGGTGGTAGGAATTCTGGTGAGAAGGTGTCCTGAGTTTCCCTACCAGTTTTAATGAGCCTTCTCTCTCGTTCATCCAGCATTCAGGTGCTTTTCAATTCATTTCTGTATTCCTCACAAAAGGGGATCTATCTGTGAATTGTTAGGGGTTGAGGAGAGAATCCAGAAGTACTTATTCTGACATTTTGCTAATGGCATTTCCCGCCATTATTTATTTCCCGCCAAGGTATTTGTTTTTAACTTTTAATTGATATTTGAAGTACAAACACTAATGACTAGCAGTTTTAATGTGTTCAGAGCTTTGTCAGTGTCTTAGAAACTTCTGTATTTCATTTTTAGAGATTAAAAAAAGCTTCTGAGGGGATGACTTATGTAGCTTTGGAAAATGGTGTTACAACTGGTTATTCTCAAGCTAAATTAAAAGAAGTTATCCATAATAACTGTATTCTATTTGGTAAAATTGGTTTTTTATGGGAATATATTTAGCAATTCCAAAATACTGTATACATATGTAGAACAGAGAATTAAATTAGTTGTACGAACTGATAGCTAAGCACTCACTGTCAGAAGAAAGTTCCAAGTAAGGGTGAAGTCTAGAATGAAGCACATTGTGCTTGATTATCATCACAAATGTTTCTGTTTATAAACATTTGCATATATTAGAAGTATTTATAGATATGTGGGCATATGTGGGTTAGTATAGGTTCATATATTTCCTACTGTATTTTCTGAGAAAATCTAAAGGTATGACATCCCACTAGCAGTAAGTGTCTTGTTTTCAGGTCTTGTTTTCTAAATACTATTTCTAATTAAAAGTCAGGAATCTCTGAAAAAGTTGCTGATTCTAGAGCAAAGGCAGAGAAAGTACCAGATGACCTTGTGGAGCTTTTTTTTAGTGCCAGAAATTGGATGTCCAGTTGTTCCAGCATCATTTGTTGAGAAGACCATCTCTTCTCCATTCTGTTGCCTTTGCTCCTTTGTTAGAGGTTAGTTGACTGTATTTTTGTGTGTGTGTTTCTGGGCTCTCTATTCTGTTGCATTGACCTGTTTTCTACTCTTTTGCCAATACCACATTGTCTTCATTTCTTTGTCTTTATAGTAAGTCTTGACGAAGTTTGGTGTCAGTCTTTCAATTTAGTTTGTTTCTTTTAATATTGAATTGGGTGTTCTGGATATTTTGCCTCTCCATGTAAACTTCAGAACCAGTTGGTCAGTATCTATAAAATAAGTTGCTGTGATTTTGATTGGGATTGTATTGAATCTGTAGATCAAGTTGGGAAGAATTGAAGATTTTTCTTTTGTTCATTGAAACTTTGTAGATTTCTTCACATCAGTCTTACACATATTTTGAATTTGTACCTAAGTATTTTTTGTTGAAACTTCGACTTATTCATTGCTAGTATATAGAAAAGCAATTGATTTTTATTTATTAACACTTTATCCTGCAACCCTGCTGTAATCACTTATTATTTTCACACGTTTTTTTGTTCATTCTTTCTGACTTTCTGTATGCACAGCCATATCATCTAAGAACAAGTTGAATTTTTCTTTTCAATCTGTATGTCTTTTATTTCCTTTTCTTGTGTTATTGCCTTAGCTCAGTATGATTTTGAAAAAGAAGGGTGTACCTACCTGATCTTATCAGGAAGACTAGTTTTTTCTAATGAGTATGCTGTTAGCTATAGGCTTTTGTAGATCTTTGTCAGTTTGAAGAAGTTCCCCTCTGTTCCTAGTTTGCTGAGAATTTTTGTCCAGAATGGTGTTGAATTTTGTCAAATTCTTTTTTCTACATCTGTTGATTCCTTTAGCCTGTTGATATGATGGTTGATTATATTAGTTTTCACATGTACCAATCTTGAAGACCTGTAGTAAATCCTGCTTGATTATCATATATAATTCTCTTATACATTATTGGATTTGATTTGCTAATTGTGTTCAGAATTCTTGCATCTGTGTGCATGAGAGATACTGGTTTGTCATTTCCTTATAATGCCTTTTCTGGTTTTAGTATTGGGGTGATACTGGCCTCAAGGAATGAGTTAGTATTCTCTGCTTTTATCTTCTGAAAGAGATTGTAGAAAATTTGTATAATTTTTTTCTTAAGTGTTTGGTAGAATCCACCTGTGAACCCATCTTGGGCTGGTCCTTTCTGTCTTTGAATCCTATTAATTATCAGTTCAGTTTCTTTAGTAGATATAGGCTTATTTAGATTGTTTTATTTATGGTTCTTTTTATATGATTTGTTTAAACTTATAAATTAATATTGTTCAGTTGCTAAGTTGTGTCTAACTCTTTGCAACCCCATGGACTGCAGCACTCCAGGCTTCCCTGTCCTTTACTATCTCCCAGAGTTTGCTCAGATTCTTGTCCATTGAGTTCGTGATGCCATCCAGCCATCTCATCCTCTGCCATCCCCTTCTCCCCCTGCCCTCAATCTTTCCCACAATGAGAGTCTTTTCCAGTGAGTTGACTCTTTGAATCAGGTGGCCAAAGTTTTGGAGCTTCAGCATCAGTCCTTCTGATGAGTTAAGGGTTGATTTCCTTTAGGATTGACTGGTTTTATCTCCTTGCAGTCCAAGGGACTCTCAAGGGTCTTCTCCGGCACCACAGTTCAAAAGCATCAATTCTTTAGCCCTCAGCCTTCTTTATGGTCCAACTCTCCCATCCATACATGACCACTGCAAAAACATAGCTTTGATTACGTGGACCTTTGTTGGCACAGTGACGTCTCTGCTTTTTAATAACACTGTCTAGTTTTGTCATAGCTTTTTCCTCCCAAGGAGGAAGCGTCTTTTAATTTTGTGGCTGAACCCATTTGCAGTGGTTTTGGAGCCCAGGAAAATAAAGTCTGTCAGTGCTTCCACTTTTTCCCCTTCTATTTGCCATGAAGTGATGAGACTGCATGCCATGATCTTAGTTTTTTAATGTTGAGTTAGAAGAGGTTTTGTTATCTATCATTATACTTCTAAAATTATTAAAATACTGTCAGTACTTCATGATGTTATCTTAGATTTACTTATTATGAGACATTAATAAAATACACCTTTTTTCTTCTAGCCCAGTGTATTAATTGTAACCTACAAGGAACCTGCAAAATCGTCTTCTCAGTTTGGGTCCTACAAGCAAGCTGAATGGAGGCCAGATAGTACCATGATAGCTGTGTCAGTAAGTAGATTTTAATGGTGTTTTCTTATGAGATCATTACATTGCGTCTAAATTGGATTTTCTTGGATAAATCTTTTTACTCTTTTACACCCTTTAGTATTACGGTCTGTGATAGCAGTTGTTCTATTTAGGTTACTCCTTCTGTATCTTCTTTCTTGATTCTTCTACTTTTTCCCATCCTTAAATGGTGCCTACCTTCTTTTCTTTTTATTCTTCTCACTTTCCTTAAAGTTTAATCCAGATTTTTTAAGCTTTCCTCTATATTCACATGGTGTTCTCAAATTTATATTATGAATCCTTCCCTTTATTCCCAAGGATGTTTCACAGAAATGATAAATTTTGTGTTTATGTCATACAACATTCTCATATCCATTTGAATTTATTTCTGCATCTCTTCTCTGGTCCATTAATGTGCTTAGATCTGGTTGATCTTACCTTTCCAAATTCTATTTTTTCATTGTCATCTCTTGGGTTGTCATCATCACCTAATTTGAATTAGCGATGTTAATTTGAATTAGCATGGTTAACATTTATTGAGCACTTTCTATGTAAGTGTTGTTATAATCAGATTATGTGCATCATCTCTTTCAATCTTTAGATTAACACTTCAAGGAAAATACAATTGCCCTTTCTAGTAGATTAGTGTATTGAGGGTTTGAGAAATTAAATTTTATCCACAGTTACACAGATAATATACATTAGAGAGAAGGACTTTAAAATGAGGTACTTACATTCCACTTACTGTCCTTTCAACTACTACACTAATTTATCTCTCTGCTTTCAGTCCTTTTCCTGTTCATGCTGTATAATACTGACTGGGTAAATCATCTGAAAATGCCTCCATAAAATAAAAAGTACTGAATAGTTACTCACTTCCTATAGAAAGGTTTTGCAGCATCATATCTACTAGCTGCTTCCTGTTGGTATGTGGACTATAAACTAAGAATAGTTTTACGCACTTAAATGATTGAAAACAATCAAAGAGGAAGAATACTTTTGACAGTTGAAAATTATTTAAAATTTAAATTTTACTATCCATAAATAACATTTCCTTGAAAATGCCTATTTATTTACATGTTGTTTACAGCTGCGTTCAAGTGACAGCATCTGAATTGAGTAATCCCGACATTGACCATATATGGTGCTTCATCTTGTCACTCTTCTGCTCAGTGTACTATAAATTATAGTGAAACATTTATAAATTTTGTGTTTCAAGTACCATGCATATTGCTATACTGTGACATTTCATATTACTAGTGCATAAGGAATGAAATCGTATCAGAATGAAAGAAGAGAAAAATAAATTTTGAAAGTCATGCTTTTAAAGCACATGGGAGTGTGCATTATTTTATTATTGAATTAGATGGCACCATATTGTTTATTTTAGAATGACTATAGTGATGTGAAAAGAATACAATATAAGTTGACATTACCCAGCTAAGTACTCATCATAGTATTCTCAACTCACTGAAATTAGTAGTCAGGAAAAGTTAGAAAATTTAAAATAGGCTGTCTTATCACATCAGAATTTTTTTCACAAACATAAAAAATTAAAATGAAGGTGCAATCAAAGTAAGTTTGCTTGGTTCTTGTGATGAATTGACAGATGTTAATTCTGCTCAGTTGTTTATTTGGATAGTTAAGGCAGATTGTGAAATGATTATGAATTATTCCCCATGAATAGCATGTGTGAAACAACAGGTGAAAAATTTTTCAAAAAGGTTGAGAAAGCGCTAATTCAGTATAACATGAAGTAGAATCTGCTAACGTGTTTTAATTGATGGTGGTAAAAACATGGAGCAGAAAAAGGCTTAGTCGGACAAATTTACAGAACTAATCCTTGTGTAAACATTATAAAACAGATGGTTATATTTTAAGTTTTTGTTAGAAATAGAAGCTGAATATTCTGACTTGCCCAAACCCAAAGCCTTTCAATGACTCAGCAGTCAGAAATTTATATGTGGTTAAGCCATTTTGATGACAACTAATGTTTGAATTAAAAGTAATGTCAGGCTGCTTTTTATACTTCCATTGCTGTCAAAAGTTAATAAGAAGTGAGATCTCTAAGAAAAATTAGCAACGGATATTTTTTCTGAACTCAAACCATGGTTCTGATAGTATTTTTTTGAACTTTGATGCCACTGTGGAAGAAATTTCCGTATTTCAGAACCCATTAATTGTACAAATGAGGAGTGCTTCCACCTAACCTTCAATTGGAAGTGATTACAATGTAATGACTTGTCAACATGCAAACACAGAAGAAATCTAGTAGACTTTATAATTGCCTATCAAGTGATGAATGTATTCAATTAAAATCATGCTCATGGATTGATATCAGTATTTGGCAGTATGGGTTTGAAAAGACATTTTCACATGAAATTTGTAAAATTACAGATTAGCATTGGGGAAACTTTGAGGAATCAATTTTGATCATAGGGAACACTAAGTTTATTCTTAATTGAAATATAGTTAATTTACAATGTTGTATTAGCTTCTGTTGTACAGCAAAGTGATTCAGCTTTATATTTATATCTGTTTACATCCTTTTCCTTTGTGGTTTGTTACAGGATATTAAATATAGTTCCCTGTGCTATATAGTAGGACTTTGGTTATTTATTATATATTTAGTTGTCTGTATCTGCTAATCCCAAATTTCTAATTTATCCTTCCTACACCTCCTTTCCCCTTTAGTAACCATAAATATGTTTTTTATGTCTGTGAGTCTGTTTCTGTTTTGTGAATAAGTTCATTTGTATCATATTTTAGATTCCATATGTAAGTGGTATCACATAATATTTGTCTTTGTGTATCTGACTTACTTTCCTTATGATAATCTGAGTCCATCCATGTTGCTGCAAATGGGCATTATTTCATTCTTTCTATGGCTGAGTAATATTCCACTGTATGTACAACATCTCTCATTCATTCATCTGTCGATGGACCCTTAGCAACTGAACAACAGCAAAGACAGGAAAGCAACCTAAGTTGAGTCTGACTCTGCAACCCCATGGACTGCAGCATGCCACGCTATCTCCCAGAGTTTGCTCAAACTCATGTCCATTGAGTGATGATGCCATCTAACCATCTCATTCTCTGTTGCCCTCTTCTCTTGTACTCAGTCTTTCCCAGCATCAGGGTCTTTTCCAGTGAGTAAAGCTCTTCACATGAGGTGGCCAAAATATTGGAGCTTCAGCTTCAGCATCCGTCCTTCCCAATGAATATTCAGGGTTGATTTCCTTTAGGATTGACTGGTTTCATCTCCTTTCTGTTCAAGGGACTCTGAAGAGTCTTCTTCAGTACCACAATTTGAAAGCATTAATTCTTTGGCATTCAACTTTCTTTATGGTCCAACTCTCCCATTTGTACATGACTACTGGAAAAACCATAGCTTTGACTATACAGACCTTTGTCGCCAAAGTAATGTGTCTGCTTTTTGTTACGCTGTCTAGATTTGTCATAGCTTTCCTTCCAAGAAGCAAGCCCTGTCAGCATTTACTTCTGGGAGCAGTCACAGCATGCTTTTTGATAACTGTGTTGTATTCCCAGATGGCTCAACAGGTAAAGTGTCTGCCTGCAATGTAGGAGACGCAGGAAATGCAGGTTTGATCCCTGGGTTGGGAAGAGCCAACCCACTCCAGTATTCTTGCCTAGGAAATTCCATGGATGGAGGAGCCTGGCAGGCCACAGTCCATGGGGTGGCAAAAGAGTCAGGCACCGTTTAACGAGTAAGAACAATAGCAACTGAGAAAAGAAGAAAGTTAGGAATGTGGGTTCAGTCTTTCCATCTTAGCAGAAGCTAACTTAAAGTAAACCATTTCATCCCATTGTTCAACTTTTATTTGCCTCTGCCTGCAAAAGAGGTTATCTTCATTTTTTATATTATAATGTACAATAATATAGAATAATACAGATGGAGAACTATTAGTTATTTGATAATAGTTTAGTAAGGTCACTGATATTTTTGTATTATCTGTTCAGTGAGGCAATCACTTGAAGTAGGAATTATTCTTGCCTGGAAAATTCCATGGACATTGGAGCCTGGCACAGCCTCCACGGGGTCACAAGGAGTTGAACATGACTAATCACACACAATACAAAGCAATCAATCTTCTTTGCAGTCATTGGTACTAAATCAAAGCACACATAAAAATAATCTTAAAAATTGTATATTACCATGCCATGTGTATTAGATAAGTGAACTTTCTAGATAATTAGAAGTTTAATTGAATTCTGGAGCTTTATAATTTTGATGGTCCTTTGTCTCAAATGTATTTTACATTTTCTTAGCCTCATATAGGAATCCATTGATTGTGAATTAACTACTTATTAAAAAATTGAGTTATTCTGATGGTGAACTTTTTTGGTGTCTGTTATGTGCTAGGCGCTGTTTAAGTGCCTATGTGTGTTAAAATTATTCTTCGTAACAACCCTCTGATGATAGGTAATTTTGTTACTTCCATCATACAGTTGAGCTGTGGTAGACAGGTTAAAGCACCTGCCCCAGATTACATCAGTACTATGTACCTTAGATCACACTCAGTTCAGTTCAGTCATGTTCGACTCTTTGTGACCCTGTGAACTGCAGCACGCCAGGCCTCCCTGTCCATCACCAACTCCTGGAGTCTACCTGAACCCATGTCCATTGAGTCGGGGATGCCATCCAACCATTTTTATCCTCTGTCGTCCCCTTCTCCTGCCCTCAATCTTTCTCAGCATCAGGGTCTTTTCAAATGAGTCAGCTCTTTGCATCAGGTGGCCAGAGTATTGGAGTTTCAGCTTCAACATCAGTCCTTCCAATGAACACCCAGGACTGATCTCCTTTAGGATGGACTCGTTGGATCTCCTTGCAGTCCAAGGGACTCTCAACTCTTTTCCAACACCACAGTTCAAAAGCATCAATTCTTCGGCACTCAGCTTTCTTTATAGTCCAACTCTCACATCCATACATGACCTCTGGAAAAACCATAGTCTTGACTAGGCAGACCTTTGTTGGCAAAGTA